AACCTTCCCATGTGGTGTTCCCCATACAGAGCAACCCCAGGCCACAGTCCAGAACCCAAGGAAAGGAAATGCAACCAAGGTAGTCTGGACAGAGGACTTCCAAAAGGCTTGTGGATCACCAAGAGGTTTCAAGCCAAGACCCGGAGCGGTGGGTCCTAAATTTTAACAATTCTTTTTTTGTTTGTTTGGTTTTTGTTTTGCTTTGGTTATTTTCCCCCAGAAGCCTCAAAGTCAAAACCGATGTGAGATGCTAAGGGAGAAACACCCAATTTCAGGTCAGGAATTCTCTTTCTAGACTTAGATGGGCTTTGAGCTTCCCCTTTCTAAAAGAATGTCATGACCATGGTTCATGCTGTCCCAGGGGCAGGGAAATGTACGTTTTCACAGGTCACTCGAACTGAAGCAGCAAGGGTCAGTCACCTGCTAGCTCTATTCAAGGTACCTTCAAAACTGCTCTTGCTGGTGTTGGAAGCTAAACCCTCGAAGCCTCTAGGATAAGAGTAGTCAAAAGCCAGTTTTGGGGGTAGGTTTTCATTTGGTGCAACTACAGCATTTCTGGCTTTCTACAGTAGCCAGCATTTTGTGTGTTTCTCAGCTGTGCTACTGGACACTGTATTGAACCAGAAACTGACCTTTTATAACTCCTTGGTTTGCACCTGTAACAGCACTGGTGAGAATAAAAGGTAAACATATGGGATACATAGACTGAATTCTCTATCAGAAGGAATCAGTCCAATAAACTTCCTAAGAGTGTTTTTCCATCCTGTCAGTAAGATGAAAGACGAAACTGAATCAGAGCTCACTGACAAAATGAAAAGGTCTGAACCTGGGTGTGAACAGAATAGAAAGTGCAAAGACTCTTCATTCCCCTATACAACCACCTCATCCTTTTCTGGAAATCAGCAATTTCTTTTTTAATGAGTTTTCTTTCTTTTGGGAAAACAAAGCAAGGCTATAATTGGGTGTTTCTCTTTTGTATGCTTGTTCAGAAGCCAGGTTTTCTCAACGCCTTTGACTAACATTCAGCGATCCTTCCTTGGAGGTATCTGAATGAATGTTCATGGATCATTTAATTTTCTCTTCAAACTCTGGCAGAAAAAAAACACAGTTCCTATTTTCTGGATGTGAGTGGTTTAGGGTCTTCTTTTGCAAATGCAAAGCTTAAGGTTATTTATGAAATCTCCAACACCTTATCATTGCAAATGAGTTACACATTTCTTCTGAGGACCTCAACCCCTCCTTCCCTCCACTCCTCTGCTCTGCCTCTCCCTCTTCTGTTCAACATGGGTGAATCATCTTCATTAGCAAAGAAACACGACATCACCTTCAGTGTTTTGAATGACGAGAAAACTTTTCTGGGAAGAAATGTGTCAGTCTGGAACAGCTGAATCCCAAAGGCCAGCAAGGTGATACCTTCAACATCTTCCTTGGCTAAATGCACTTGTTATTTACTGACTTTTTTTTTTTTTTTTTTTTCCCCCCACAGGAAGTATTTCCACAGCTGCTGAGCCCCAGAGCACAAAAGAAATCCCTACCTATGTAAATGGTTGAATTGAGGACACCGATACATATGTATATCTAAAAAAAGAGGAGAGCTCACTACATTTGGACTTTTTAATTCTTCAGACAACAAAGGGTTTTTAGCTTTAAGCCTGTGCATGTGGACATTATACTGAGACCATAGTGGAACTGCATTGTACAGGTGTTCAATTTTAGTGGGGGGTGGGGGGAGAGGAACTGGTACCACTATTCACTCCTGCAGCCCTTCCCCTCACCCCTCCACTCTCTTTTTTCTGATCTGTCTCTAATTTGTAAAAAATTCATAATGATATAGGCCAAGAATATGCATGGGGGTCTCTTCTTTAGGGAGAGGGGTGGGCTGGGATGTGGGGGGAGAAGGGCTGGGGGAGGTGGGAGGGGGCATTTAGGGTTCTTGGCTTTAGATTTAACTGCTCTTTTAGCACTTTGGGCTGTGGGAGGGCTAGCCGCCCTAGCAGACTTTCATAGGACACACAAAAAATCACACTGGAGTTTAATGGCACTGAAAATATTCTTGGTCAGTCTGGTTTATGTCTTTGTTTGGACTCTGCCCTTCGTTCCTCTAGCTGCAGCTGCTGTCTGTGCCCCACGGCTGCAAGGAGGCTGAGTGCAAGTGTGGGTGATCACAACCACAAGGCCAGGATCTTTCTTAAACAGCTTTTTTAGCCTGTTCACACCAAGGCATCCCACTGTTGAAAGGTAACTTTCTGCCTCCTGACCTTGGATGGAACAGAACCGGCATGCATTACAGGCAGGGAGCTCTGTCCATACTGCAATTGCAGGAGGTTATCGCCAGCATGAACTTACACTGTACTTTGTACCAGCCTTACACCTTCAATTTTGGCTAAGAGAAAGCCCTTGTAACACCCTCAGCTGCATTTAGTGCTGATAGCTGAATTTGTCTGGGGAAGTCCCAGGAGACCTCTGCCTTTTGGCAGTCACCCCCAGGACTGTAATTTTTTTGAAAGACACTTTGTCCATAGAATAGGGAGCGGGGAAAAGTCTATGCACCTTCTTGGCAAACCCCCTTGGTTGCAGATCTGCCTACTGCCGCTCTGGGCAGAGGAGGGACAATAAAAGGGGATTTGGCCTGAGATTGTTGCCAGACGTTTTGAGCTCCAGCACCACAAGACCACTCTTGTGCAAGATGTGGTTTCTTACCAGTAACATAAGCTTGTATCTTACACATCTCGGAGTGAGACTGCAGGACATGTTCACACAGACTATGCAAGGGAACAGCAGGAAAGCAGGCTTAGCGTATTTCGAACGAGTCCTCCCAGGACTCTGGATATCTGGCTGAAGCCTAACCTATGTTCATCACAGCTGTTGGCTTCCAACCCAACTCAGGTAAACCTAGTGTCAGGATTTTGGTTTGAAATGTAAAGAGAGAAAGACAAGAACCAATGCACACTTACTTGTCTATGTTAGGTGAAGGCAAGTAGAGGCCAGTTCATAATCAGCACAGCACGCTTAGGAGGCACCCCGATTCCTGAGGTGATTGGGTTTTGTTCAATAGATATTGCATGTGGCAACCTGAGTCGAAAACAGGAGAAAGCAGCATTGTTGGCATTGCCTGAAGTCCTGGGGCAGGGGTTTGATGGTGGTTTTGAATTTCTCTGTCACAAAATGGGCATAAGCCCAAATCAACTCGCTTGCTGGCAAAGAAAAAAAATGATACCAAGTGTAAGAACATTAGACCCACAGTAATCAAAGGATAGTCACAGCACAGAGTCCTCTGCCTCTTTCTGTAGTTTCTCTGAAGACAGGTAGGAACACAGCAGTTTGTATGGCTTTGCTATTGTCTTTGCAACTACAGCTTTAAGAAAGATGGGAAAGTTTTGGCAGCAACTGTATAATACTCCCCACTGAAGTCCAACATTAGCCAACTTATTTTTATAGTAAGCTGATCAAAAAGTTTTCTTAGAGTGTTGGAACTATTTCTAATTTTAAAATTACTTTTTTTGATGTACTTTTTCATCTTCTTTTTCCCTTTCGTTAAATACAATGTAGCGTAATGTATAATTGCTATTGTTTATTGCTTTTACAGTCATATTTATTAAACAGATTATGTCTCTAAATGAAGGCCTGTGTTTTTGTTGCTCATTTTAGCTCTCTGTCCCTGGCTGGGATCACTACCAACATTAAAACAGTAGGAAGATGATAACTTCAAAAAGAAAGGGCTGTTCAGTAGAAGTGGAGAGTATGGTGATAGTGTGCTTCTGAAAATACAGTTCCTAGAAGCAAGATGCCAATATGAAGGTAACTTTCTCAGCCCTCACGCAAAGTGCTTTATGAAGTGAAGCTTGGTATTGTTATCTCCATTTTAAGGCTGGGGAAGCTGAGGGATGCAGAGGTACAATGCTATTTTTCTGGTTTCCAGACACTCAATGGCAGAGTTCCGGGCAGCTCCCTGGAACTCCAGCTCCATTCCCTGCCCATGGTTATCCTTCCTCATACAGACTTTCTATTAAAGGTTCCTTTAAGGTGTCTTTTTGACTACCCCTTTGCTGACATTGATGAAGGAAGGTCTGAATTATTCGCATCTCTGTTTAATCAGGTTTTACATGTGAAGAAAATGAAGCATAGAAAGTTTCTGTCAGCTTGCCAAATGACAGTGGATGCATGCTGCTCAGAAAAAGAAAGAAAATGTGGTTCCTCTGCTTTTCAAGTCAGGAATCAAGCACTGGATTGTTCTGCCTGTCATTACTGGCTCCTGGTTCAGTTCTCTAGCCTTTTTTTGTACCCCTGGCTAAAGAATTTATATACACACATAAATAGTCAAAGATCTGGGGTTCAGATATCATCAGCAACCAAGGCCATGGTATCGCATGTCAGGTCCAGGAACGATGAGTTTGCTTATCGGAGGAGCGTGTAGTTTTCACACCCTGGGAAAATCCCAGTATAATAATTAGAATTACTAGCCTAAAATGCTACAGCGGACAATTCAGCCTTTCTTCACCTTTCTTTCAGGCTGGATGAACGGCTGGCACAGCTGTGGCCATAGTGCAGGTGACTCAGAGATGTGTGTGTAGATATAATTTGCTTTTATAATTTAAGTACCCACCTGAATTAGTAGGCATCTGTTCTAGCCATAAACAGTAAGTCTGGTTTTGGCAAGCATCTCTAAAGCATTTTCAGGCGATTCTCTTCAGCTTGTTGTGTGTCCTGAGGCAGAGACTCGTTATTTGTGGTTGTTGTTTTCTGGTTTGTATAACAACACAGTGATTCACAGCTAATGGCTGAACACTGAGACAATAAACAAAGAATATACCAAATACTTATAAAATCCAATGAGTTTTCTCTGAGGATGTTGTCATACATTGAGAGAATAAAAAAAGTTCATTATCCTTTGTCAGAAAGAGCAGGGAGTTAAAATATGGTTAAAAATTCAAATAAAGTATTTTCCTAATTTGATATTGATTCTCTACCATCATTTTAACTGCCGTAAAACGGACATGTGGACGGGACAGACATACAGATATATTGGCTTCAAGGAGATTTATACTTCTCTACTTAGCAGGACATTTGGGCTAAGATGCTGGATTGCCTTTCCTGGAAATGAGTAGGTGTTAGTGTTTAAATACTTCTGAGGATCTGGGCCTGAAACAGTTGCTTGCTGTTAATATGTGGCTACGTTTAACTGCTTAAACTTCTGTTGGAAAGCAAGACTGAAAGCACTTACTGAAATACTTATGCAAATGAAGCAGGAATTTCCAGTGACCCTAAATGAACCCTGTCTTGGTCCTGTCAACTTCTGCTGAGAATTTCTGACAATTGCATTTAGTCTGGTACCTAGAGCTGATAACGAGGGATTAGTATTTTATCTGTGTGCTGTCATCTCTCATTGAATGCATGGAAAGTTTCCTTGCCACATTACATCTCTAGGTACATTCAGTGTTTTAAACATTATCCCTGATTGCAGAGCTATCATGTTCATGAAGTTAAAAAATAAAAGTTTATTTTCCCTCAGTCAATGAGATACTGTCCTTGCATTTCTCCATGAAACAGAATAATAAAGCATGTGAATAAATAATACTTGAGCTAGAACAGATCCTTTTAGTTTAGAGTGTTGGTATGATCCTGGCCATAATACCCAGAAGAAAAGATTAAGTCAAATTGTTTTGCAATTGATAAGATCAAAGTGCTATCATGTACAAGTCACAGTTTTAACTTTAGCTTTTTCTTTTCCCTTATTTCCTATGGGTAATATGGCTATCTATTACTGTTCACTGTGCTGAAAGCAGGACATAGAGGAAATCTGTGTTACGTATTTCTCAATGTGAGAATTTCAAGATCTCTTCCTTGTGGCTGGCATTGTGATACAGCCACCCCAGTGCTAGATGCTGTATGCACATTGACAGTAGAGGTGACATTGTAACTGGATGAAATAAACGAAATAAGGGAACAAGATTTCTCACCAACTCTAGTTGCAGATTGAGCCTCACATTGTAATCTTGGGTCATTTTGATGACTGGACATTAACCAGACCTCCTCTATGTGAAAAAAACTCAGCACTGTGTATGACAGCTCTGAATGAGATGGACAGCCCAACATCTAAACAGCCCAACTCAATATAGGCTTAATGACTTGAGCCCTAGGAGGCACAGAGATGCACAGGAGACCAGCCAGCCTTCCAGGGTAGTAGCTCCATGCTGTTCTGTCTGTGCAAAGGCTTGCTTTCTGCTGGGGTAAGTCAGAGAGATTTGAAGTTTGTGCTGATTTATGTTGTTTTCTCTAGGAATTTTATGAGCTTTTGTTAGCAGAGAGAGTAGCATGACTAAAATACATCCAGCCAAATCTCTACCCTTGACTCTAAGTGCTCAGAAAGGAGGGCTGTGCTTGGGTTTGTATAATGACCTCCCACCAAGCTGTAATAGCCCAGCCTTGTGTAAGCAGGATAGGAACCAGACAACTGTTGAATTTCCCCAGCTTGTCTGAGGCTGCAGCACATCCAGCCATTGTGGACACAAGTATCACTAGCAGTAGCCAGGATATTGCTATGCTGTGCTTCATATTCAAATCAATTCTATAGAAGGATCCCAACCATTAGTCTGACATGTGAGGTGCTGTATCCACCAAACTGCAGAGAAAATAAGCTACAATACCAAAGTTTTGTATTTTTTATATTCTCCTATGGAGGTGCCCTGAGAGACAAAGGTGCAAGAGAAGGAATGTAGCAAAGCTGTTGAGAGTCGCAATTGCCTGCCTTCAGTACAACATAGATGCAAGAAATACCCCTCCCTTTTTGTAACAAAATCCTCATCCAGCCTCCTCTAGAAAAAGTTGGATATGGTGGAG